TTTGTTAAAGTGTACACGCATTAATATTTCTCCATAAACAAAGAAAGGTATTTATTGGTTGTGTTGCAGGAATTGTGCCAGCACAACTCAGTCAATAAGGTCAGCACAATACAAAAATATTACACATACCATCTCCCTAGTTGGTTTTTCAATTGTCTTAACTGAACCCCTAGTAAGCTAAAGACTGAAAGAGGTGCTGTAATATACTTTTTTGGTTCTTTGGTTATTTTATAGCCTTAGTGCTATCATAATATGCACTGGTTGTGCCATAATACCCCATTATTTGTTTCATTATATCCCTTATCAATTCCTTAGTATACCCAGAGAGCTTTAATTAGTTTCTAAATACCCATTAGTGCTTCCTAATATGCCTTGTAGTGCTCTTTAGGGGCTAACAGAACACCATGATGACCTACTTGGAACCATCATGAGCTTTCAAGAGAAAGCCCATCGAACCAATCAGGGTATCTAGGAAACCATGAAGGAATACTGCAGCACCACAAGGCATACTAGGGGTCTCCAAGAGCTATGAATTTAAACACTTCCTAGGTATACTAGGGAATCGCTAGAGGCTACATGGAACCAATGTGGGTGACAAAAGCACAACAAGGGCATCTTTGGGAATCACTAATAGATATTAAAGTACCAATTGTGGCTATCAAAGCACCAGCAAGGCATATTAGAGAGTACTAGGGCAGATTTAGAAACCAATAGGGATTATTAAAGCATCACTAAGCAAACTGAGGAATCACTTAGTGTTATTAAGGAACCAATTGTGGGTATCAAGTTCAATCAGAGCCAATCAGGGCATACTAGGTTATCACTTAAAAAGGAACCAATTTGGGATATTAAACCACAACCAGCCATACTCGGTTATTGCTAAGGTTATTTCATGAACCTGATAGGAGTTAAGCACAACCAAGCATCACAAAGGTCTTTTAGGAAACGTATGTTAAAAGCACAACCAGACTACCAAGGAACCAATTTGGTGTATTAAACCACAACCAGAGCATACTACATGTTGGTAATTGCTAAGGCTATTTAATGAACCAATGGGGGAAATTAAAGCACAACCAAGCATACAGAGGAATCACAAAGGTCTATTAGGAACCATATGTTTAAAGCACAACCAGGATATACTAGGTTATTGCCTAGACTATTGATGAACCAATAAGGGTTATTAAAGCACAACCAGGGCATGCGATCTTATCACTAAGGCCATTACTAAAGCTATTAAAGAACCAAACAGGATTACTAAAACAACACCAAGCATTCTAAGTAGTCCCCAAGGGCTACTAAGGAATAAATAGGGGTTATTAAAGCACAACCAGACACCAAGCATTCTAAGCAGTCCCCAAGGGCTACTAAGGAATCAATAGGAGTTATTAAAGCACAACCAGGGCATACTGGTTATCAGTAAAGCTATTAAGGAATAAAAGGGGGCTATTAAAGCACCTCCATGGCATTCTAGGGAATCACCAAAGGCTATAGAAGAGCTAATTGGAGCTATCTATTTATCATTTTTGTATTGTGCTGACACAATTTACTGGGTTTTGTTGGCACAATCACTACAACACAACCAGTAAATATCTATTTTTGTATGGAGAAATATTTATATCTGTACATTTTAACTAATATATGCATACAGGGTGTTTCATATGTATACATCCCCCATAAACTCATACATGTCATATTGCCACACCATCATGTTATATATATTTTGCTCCTTATGGAAAGTTACATAAGATTGCAAAGTTTCAGAATCCAGCGGTATCCCTGAAAAAAGAAATGCCGTATCAAAGTATGTGTGTACGGGTCATTTCGAGGGGAATTTCTGGTCACTTTGAAGGCACTTTTAAGGGGAAATTGAGTTTCTGTATTGCAAATTGCAAACAGTTGTCATCATAGCAGAGTTCAGTGCACATGAGTGTGACAGTTATGCGCAAAGATGTATAGATAGGATTCTTGCAGTGGCTTATGGAGAGGCCAGGGACCCTGGTGCAGCCTCTATAATTAAATAAAAATGGATATGAGAAAAAGTGCACAGATCACTGGCCTGAGTCCAAAAATCACCAGGAAATGCCCTCTAAATGACCCCGTACCCGCAATCTTTGATACAATGTATCTTTTTTCAGCGATACACCTTGATTCTGAAACTTTGCAATCTTATATAACTTTCGATATGATACATAAAATGATAGGGTAGCAATGCTAGATGTATGAGGTCATTGGGGGGGGGGGGGGGTGCAAAGATATGAAATACCCTGTATGTACATTATTACTTCTCATCTTTCAGATCACTTGATGAAGCAAACAAAGAGAAATAAATGTACCTCTTGACTGTGTTGACGTGATTGTGTCAGCACAATTCAGTCATTGTAACAGCACAATCCAAAAAACAATATATGTTAAGTAGTAATTGTTTTAATTACTTTACATGTTAGTAAGTAACCTGCAAGGTGAGATTGAATCTTTAATTATGTAAGCCCATACATTGGTTCATCCTCTTGGAATGCATGCTAGAGTATTTAAAACTCAGTTATTGGATTGTGGATCTTGGTGAAAACATGGACTTAATGGTCGCTAGGAAATATATCAGGTTTGGGGTTGTCTTATGATGTAAAATCGATTATAATTTTGCTTTTATTCAGAAATGTTGGATGGTTTACATTTGCTATTAATATTAAACTCACCATTATGAATACCAGCATATTAAAACATTCATTGCCAAACATCATAAGCTTTTAATGCATGTGAATTTCAAAAATATTTCCTTAGTCTCCCACACACACTCTTTAAAATAGGGGGCATTTTAAGGGGTAAATCAATTATTTCTGCTTAAATTTTATTTTATTATTTATTATTATGAACTATTATGAACTCCAGTCATCTATATTGGTCTAAAATGAAAGAAAACTATCAATACTATGCATGGGTATAAGGTGTGGAAAGTAAATTAAAAAGTATAGATGATGGTTTACCTGAAAATAATACAAATCCAATTTATATGGAAATACGTTTTATTTTTTTTCTCAAAAAGTTATAAAGCTATGAACATAGGGTTACTGCAGTCTCTCAACACCATAATTGTACATATTCAGGAATATTTTTAAGCCCAAATCCTGAATAATACAAAAGTTACGGAAGTTAACTTAAGTATCCCCTTTAAAATAGGGGGTGTTTTAAGGGGTTAATCAACTATTTCTCCATAAATTATGATTTTCACACATTGAAAAATTTTTTAATGCATAATTTAATGTACCTATGATCAATTTAAGCTATTTGAGATGTCATTATGTTTCAGTTATGAAAATAATAATTAGTTTTAAGTTTGGGGGTGAATTGTAGGGGGCGCCACCTATAGGACCATTTTTCACATCCGTTGCCGGGGCTAGGACAGAGAACCCAAGCTCAAAATAAGCCCAAGACCTTGCTCTACATGAATCCAGTGAGAAACTTAGGGGACAAACTTATTTTTTAAAATTTGCTCAGCTGCTGACCTATAAGTACTATTTCTTCTTTTCTATCAAGGTTCTGTATGTAGGAGGTTGAAATTGTAGGTGCGATGTTTTTAGTGAGGTGATCGTTTAGTTGTTTTTTGAAAATGAGAAGCTGTTCGTTTCCTTATGGTCTCTAGGAAGACGGTTCCACAAGGTTATCATTGAGCAGACTGTTCCCGTTTCCATTTTTACTAATTAAGTCGTTGGTTGTTCTAAGAACTCGAGTCTGAGGTGATTTATATCGTCCAAAATCCGTTTTACGTAAGATGGTACCAAACGCGCAATTAATGTTCATCCCGTCTATTCTGAAGATTACCCCAATTTAATATTTCAAGTTTTTTTTCGGTGCTTGCTCCCTGTACAACACCAGAACAAATAACAGCTGCCCTATAATGTAGCTTGTCTCACTGGTCTAGGCTGGTAGCTGGAGCAGCGTCATAAATGATATAACAATAGTCCAGATGAGACGGGATTAAGGAAGAGTAAATTTTTCCAGGTGTTCGAAATTTAATCTATGCTTAAGTGCCATAAGTGGGTTTAATAATTTTTGAACTTTACCTTCCAGATGTTCAATATGGGTTTTGAAAGTTTACTTTTCATCAAGAATTAGACCGAGGTGCTTATGATGTTTAATTTGATCTATTGGAGTGTCATTGAAAACAAAATTTGGATATGTTCTCTTAATTGGTCTATTTGTTTAAAGATAAATTCATGACTTTTTGTGGTGCTAAAGTCTGATTTGCTGGGACCACATTTGGATATGAATTAAGTCTTCTTGGAGGACATGTTTTATGCTCAAAGCCAAAATTGACCGTGCTGCGCATACCTACCTAAATCATTTGGAGTGAACCCCCGGGTATCCAATTTGCACTGATTCCCGCTCAAATTAAATAGCTATAGTTTGATTTACATGCCAGACATGTAAATTGCTACACATATTCAAATCGTGGTTTATGTAAAAAATCATGGCAATGTGTATTAATTTTTTATTTACTTTTCAGATATTCTAAAAACTTGCATAAAATCTAAAAAATACATTCTATCAAAATCTATTAAATACTATATTTAATATTTTATCCACGACCCCATGGGCGTTTTTTGGATTCATTATTGAATAATTTTATATTAAAGAGATGATGTTAACAATCTATCTTATCAACCTCTGGAGAGGTCAATTATTGTATACAAATACAATAAGAAATCAAGTAGTTGATACAATAAACAATCTGGCCATCTGTTAAAAGACTTGCATCAAGTTTTTGAATGTCTTCCCTATATCTGCTTTACCTCGAGAGGAAGACGAGGGAATACCCCAGAATTGATAGATACTGTAACATGTACATAATGTATATCCCCATTTAAGCCTTAAACGGTTAGGGGGCAGCGCTGTACTCCCGCCTATAGTATCTTTTTTCGTATATCTTTTGATCTGAAACTTTCTGATTTACCTTAAAAGTGAATATGGGATGTTTTAGGGAAAAATAGGACTCTAACCCCCGTAGGAAGAAAGTAAGAGCTGGTCAAGGTTACAGAAATAAGCAAATTGTCAGTAGTTTAGACGTGAAAGAATAAACTCCTATGTTCTTAGAATATGAATTTCTCCATCAAAATTGGCTCAATATAGTTACAAGTTACAGTAGCTCAATGCTTGGAATTAAACTTTCCAATTTAATACATAATACTCTTAAGATTGGTCATTTGCATTGGTGCTGCCATCTTTTTATCGACCCAGAAGCTATAGCAAGATCATAAGGGGGGTGGTAGCCATTTTGTAGGGCCTCACAAATGGGACTTTTTGGGCATATTCGGCCAATTTAAAAATGATCCTTGATTTTTCAAAATTTCGGTTTTTAGGGACCCAACATATTTTTCTAGACTCAAACATGGCCCCTTGTTAATTTCCCAATCCGCTACTACACATAGTGGTATGTTAAAAGTTTACTGGACAAAAAATCTGAAATTGTCACCTAATAATTACCCAGAATTTTCAAAAGAACAATGTTTAAAGCTTTGATAATCACAGAATAGTCCTTTGAGCTGAAATTGAAGCTTTATCGAAAAAATAAACGATTATGCATCATTGAATTATTTCAGAAATAGAATTTCACTATTTATCATTTAACTTCTTTTCTGCTTTTTGTCAGTGTATCTATCCGTGAAGAGCATCACATACAGCAACAGAAGAGGTACCAAGATATATGGAAGATAGATCCCTGTAAGCGTCATTTTCTCATTGTATGTGAGAGGAGCAGGATATTTCTTTGATTCAACGAAATCACCCCACCAAATATGGGCAAGTATTGGTACAAGTGTTGTGGCTACATGCGTGCCGTATACGATGGATGGAATGCGAATCCAGGGACAATTACCTGAAATCATTGTAAAAAATTCTAGTATGACTGTGGTGGCTTTTCAATTAAATAAAACATTGGTTATTTACTCATCAAGGATTTTATGAGAGATTATGCGACAATGTACATTAAATTGCCATATATATACATGTATGATCTGACAATGTACCACAAATCCTAGACTTTAATGAAATATTGTACAATATGACAGTGCGATATGAATCCTAGGCTTTAATGTGACATATTCGATGTATCATGTGCTATGTGGCAATACAATACATACATGGGGCCTTAAGTGGGCCCAAAAAAAAATTTTAGGCCCCAACATTTTGTAAGGCATCAAAATGGGCCTTTTTAGGCATAATTTGACCTTTAAAGGTCTTAAGTGGACCAATTTATCAAAAATGGGCCTTAATTTTTCAAAATTTGGGCCTAATTTTGGGTTTTAGTGGCCCAAAATCTTTTTCAGACTTGAAATTGGGACCATCCCCTTGCTATACATATACTCACCTTTCCAAAAGGCATAGCATGCAACAAAAAAGAATGGGAACTGCATTGTGAGCTCACAGATGACAAATGATTGGAACCAAGCAGGACTCAAAGCTATCATCTGATCCTTAATCTCCACCTTGTACCACTCAAGCAAATCAACAGCCTAAAAATAAAATATTTTCATGATTACAAAATTCAAAATAATACTGCCACAATTTTTTCAGTTCAAAATTTCTGTCGTGGATTTTGATCTCATAATAATGAAATGTTTCAAAATAACCAAGAAGCATTATTTCAAATATTTAAGATTGGTTCCATCAATTCAAAGCCAGTTACTATTGTTGGACAGAAATGCCAACCTTGCACCAACCGTTTTTTTCATGAGACACAGTCAAAATATGCATACCCTTCAAGAATCTTCAAAACCTGATATATGCAACACTGCTAGTTATGAAAAGCCCATGATGAAAACACAGAATGAAATTTTGGGATCAGGACTGATGTAAAAAAGTAAATGCACCCTGGTGGGGTTTGAACCCACAACCCTTTCAGTATTCTAACTCTAAAAAAGTTCAGGCCATTTGAAGGTTGGCTATGAAACCAAAATCCTATCTCCCAACCGCAGAATCTCCTGCATCATCACAAAAGTGGGCATACCCAACTCAATAGCCACAGCCAAAATAAACCCAAATACAACAAACATCTGTGAACTCTGTAATAAACCAGACACTGTGGACCACTACATAAGTTTAACTCTAGATTGGATTATCCTCGGAGAAAACACAAATCCACTCATTGATCTATAGACTATGTACCCTCTGGGACTAAACATGAACCTGTTAGAATCATCAAACAGGGAATTATATAATACCTTTTGTAGCTACTGTACATGAGGCACCATAAGTTTCTAATGAGCACAATGTATAAGTAACAGTATATAAAACTGTATTAGTATAAGTGATTTAAGACTTTATGAAAATATAAGCACAAGTGAGAAGCACAAGTGTAAGCACAGGTGAAAAACAAGCACCACATGATCATTTAGCTGCATTATAGCGCATAAAAAGATACAAACAACAAACTTTCTGAACAAGTGCTCTCAAAAATATATTTGTGACCTTAAAAACAAGATGGCTGCCAAAAGTTAGAAGATCTTATAATGTAGTATGACTGGAAATTTGGAGTAAATCCGTTAAGTAGATTTTTTTGAATTGTGATGACAAGATTTATCTAAAAATGGCCTCCAGAATGCAAAATGGTCACTGAAAAGTGAATCAGCTGTAGAACTTCATTCCATGTAATATGTGTGGAAATTTGAAATAAATCCGTTAAGTGGTTCTGTAATCGCAATGAGAAGATTTATCTAAAAATATCCAAGATGGTTGCCAGAATGCAAGATGGCTGCCGAAAATTTAATCAGCTCTACAATTTCTTACCATGTAACATGTGTGAAAATTTGAAGTAAATCTGTTTGAAGTGTTTTTTATCTAAAAACGTCCAAGATTGCTACATGAATGCAAAAGGGACGCTGAAAAGATGATTAGTCCTAGAAAATTTGAATTAAGTCCGTAAAGGGGTTTTCCTGGAACGTTCTGAAATTGTGATGACAAGATTAATTTAAAAACTTCCCAAAAGGCCGCCAGAATGCAACATGGCTGCCCAAAAGCATATCAGCTCTAGAACTTCTTACCATGTTACATGAGTGGAAATTTGAATAAAAACTGTCAATTGCTTTTCCTGAATCATGATGACCACAGAGACATGTAGCACTATGATATGAGATGAGCACTATGATAGGCCCTATAGTATAAGTAATAAGGGTAATAACACTTCACTACTTCCGGGTTCTGTAAATGAAAAAATAAAAAAAACTATTGTTCAGAATTCCACAATAAGGGTCTCATTTTTAAGAAAAATTATTTAGCGGCAACATACATGTCATTATATTACTTGTAGACACGCTGCAAATATGATTTTTTCGTCTTATCTGTTACCTTAGCATCAGACCATGAATACTTCTATACAGACATATTTTTCATAGTTTACCTTATCGATCGATTTCTCCCTCAATGTTTCGTCGATTGATCTCTGGTTTGATGCAGTTGTAATACACACATACGAAATGGTATACGCTGTTCCAATTGTACTATTATTGTTCAAAAATGTGTAAAAGCATACTAATTTTAAAAATACGTCTGTCGAACGATTCTCTGCCGCCATCTTGAAATAATGACGTAGTAAACTTGACCCGTCTGACCTTTCATAATTCTATATAGAAAGGGGCTATTAAAAATTGTGTAAATAGTTAATAAACAAAAATATATATTTATCTTTTGTTTTTTTAAATGTTTTACTGCCCAAATATATTTTAAATCATAAATAGATATTATGAATTTTGCTCTTCTCCGGGGTTCTGCAATTTGATTGGTTCAAAATTTACGTCACAATTATTCACAAAGATGGCCGTTAGAATTTGCCAAAATATCTACGAAATCACATTTCATTTTTAAAACGGCAAAATAACATATTTTTACAGGCTGAACAGCATAAGCGCAGCATCGCTACAAATCTCTAGTGGGTCAATGATTCCATGATGACCAACCATGATTCTGACAAGTTAATTGGCGAAAGATTTGGGGAGAAATCGCTATAAAGGTGAGTTTTGGTTGTATAGAACAGATAACGGTCGTTAGCATGGGTATCAGAAAGTAAAGAAACTTTTTTATTTAAATTTATCTAAATGTTAGGCAGTGACATTTATCTTACAGAAGAAAGATTTTTTTTCAAAATGAGACCCTAATTATAAAATTCTGACAAATAATTCATATATTTTTTTTACTTCCAGTTTTCGAAATTTGTCGGCGATATACTCCTTCTCTATCTATATAAAGCCCCATATCAGTCATCATAAACAATACCATATAAGGTGCTACAAGATCCTGTGATGATGACAAGAAAGTGAGGCGCCGCCCGTCAAGCTGACAACAATATCGTACGTTTTTAGTTACAATAAAAATTAACTGATAGACTAGTGGGTCTCCTTACAATATCACTTCGAAAATATACTGTATAGAATTCCAGGGGAAAATATTTCAAATTATTTATTGGGCGATATTAGAGTAATTTACTCGGTACTCACGATTTTAGGATAGATCCATTGAGGAAAAACAGCTTGAGCATCAATGAAGATAGTAATTGGTATATGAGATCCAAAATACAGTAGGAAAATTGCCTCAAATTGACCCATGCTGTCTAAATATAATAAAGAAATAAGAAGCAAACTTTGAAACTTTTTAAACCGGAAGCGTACACTAAACGAAAAAGATCCGAACTCGTCCAACTTTCGTATCTCCCGGGTATCAGTTTCATCTCATTCTCATATGGCAACTTGGCAAGACACCTCAAGAAATGTGATGAATTGATGATGTCAGCTTATCTAGTCATAGACCTAACTTTGCTCAAAAGTTCACCTCCTAATGAAATAAGGTACTGCATATAATGAGTAAGCCTACTCAGTGGTAAATTCCTAAGACTGAATATGTTTGTTCTCTTTTCTGAAATTATTAAAACAGTGTATTTTTAGAAAACCTTGTACATAATTTTACATTCCTATTGTCTTATGTCTGAGTATTTGCTATGTAAGTTGAAATAAAGACATACAAAACTAGTGGTGTAATTTTGTGAAGTAGACAATGAATATGAAGGTATAGTAGAGAGCTGGGTAAGCTTGAGGATAAGGTGGATTGGATCGAACTGATTGGTTTTCTCGTAAAAGGTGGATTAGATTGGAATTCTACCAAATATGGAATTTCCATTCCGTTGCTAGCAAGCTAATTCAAAAGCATGGTACCAGAAGAGTGGCCCCTGAGATATGTAAGCTTATTTAAATAATGTGATGCTTTGCAAACGTTTTATTCACAAATCATTGCTAGTAATAGATCCTCTTTATTTTTCAAAGACATATCTCTATTACTTTTTTGTTTTCGCAGCAAATATATTCGGTCCTATTAGCTATTTGTGATGAAAAGAAACAGTATCCCATTCAATCATGTTTCGCCGAAAAGGATCAATTCTTATGTTTCCCCTCATGTCAGCTAACATGCGTTTTTGTAGAATAACAAGGATTGAATATTCGAAACGCGTTCAATACCAAGGCTTACTGTTCAAATACGAGGAAAGGAAGAATGACATCTAAATGATTAACAACATTTATATAAGGAATACTTTATTGGATAAACATTCGAATTTCCAAGCAGAAACTTATGGAATTTGAAGTTCAATATATTTCAACTCATAAATTCTAATGAATCGCCACCATACAGTCAATGCGTTAACGTACAGATCTGATTTTTTACTGAGGTATACACAGTGTCTTGACAGATTATTTGCTGGATCTTCTTCTGTTCTAAAACATGTAAAATGTGAAGTTTTATTTAAGTAGTTTATGTGTATTTAACAAAAAACATTTTTTCATATAAGAATAATCCGTAATCTCAGACACATTTTTCTCTTGCGTCGATTATGTGGACTGATTCACTCAGAAAAATTCCGAGCTTTTATAATAATTAGAATTCTGTTTTTATTTCACCTGGAATCGTATTTATTTTCATCAAATTTTAATTTTTTAAAGCCCTCATAGTTTTTGCTTCAAATCAATTAATGTTGTCACCGTACAGAACACTGTACTTCAGTATTTTTGACGCTGAACGTTAATCCGATGGCTAGGCATGCATTTTAGTGCGATATGGTACTGCTCACGACGTAAGTAGACGTTTGTTCTCAATCGAGGATAAACTAGCAATTTGTTTCATATTCTGCGGTTTGAAATAAATTCCGAGATGTGTATGGTTTTAAAAACAGAATTATGACGTGCACGAACCTGGGGACAATTCGGGAAATGCGGGCTTATCTCAGCTTTGAACGTTAATCTCTGCCTTATTTAAAAAACCAACTATGTGTTTTACATATCATTTTGAAGTATTTTTTATTCGCATTTCAATGAAATTATTTTTCCTTCAAAATTTTGATGGGAACCAACACATTTTTAAAGTTAAATATACTCCGACATCGTCAAATACGCTGTAAGACGTAACACTTTACGCTTACAGGGCTCGTTGAAATTGAGATAACTTTTGAAATAATGATCAAAATCCCACTTAAATTTCACAATTTATTCAATGGAACATTTGCATTTATGACGTCACAATTGCTTAACGGCTACATTTCAAATTATCTTATACGAACGCTTTTAAAATTTTCAAAATTGTGTAAGGTTTTGAAGGCGAATGGGACGAGCAATAAGTTTACCTTCATTTAACCTTCTAATTTAGGTCTGATTTGAAAGAAAATTTAACTGCACAATATTGTCATGGCGAAATTTACAAAACAATAATCGGTTTGTTTATTTTGCAAATAATATCAAAATAAGAGCTGGTTTTCGAGACTTGAAAAAATGTGACGCATCGACTTTTTACCACAAATTCCATACATATCAATTTTTACTAACGCCCCAAGTGGATTTTTTGACCGTTTTTCAAAATTCAAAAACATTTTAGAAATATTGTCCTCGAGATCTTGCTACCCTGTAAATTTTGTAATGATTAGATAAGAATAAAGTATTTTATTTTTAGGTTGACTAAACTTGTAAAAAATGTGACGCTTGTCGTTTTTGACGTTGTAAGGCTGTTTGCGCCCTATACTGCTCATTGTTTTGTTTTGTTTTTGACGCCATAATGTTACGCTAATTGTCCCCAGTTTCGTGCGACGTGTAAATACGTAAACCCTAGGCCTAGGTGTTTAAAGGCCCTTGAAAAGAACATCTGTTACCATCTTTTGCCATCATCGCGGAGGTTCATTTTTAAAGAAAACCAGAAGGGTAAACTTTGACAATTTGGTTCAAAAACACTTGGAAATGCTCCAAACGGGGACAACTGCATGGTTTTGATAGTATTTTTCTGGCCAGTGGGAGAAGGGAAGTTCGCTCGAAATTATCGACCAACTCCCCTGCTACGACCCTGCTTGAGTTCGAAATTGACGACAAAGGTGAAAGAATAATATATCGTTGTTTTTTGAAAAATATCTCTCTGAATACTTGATACAGGGTGGTCAAGAAAACGGAAACCCTGCATTTTCCTCATATCTTTGTCATTTTAAGAAATTACTCCCTGATATTTCACACATTTGTTAATCATTCGATTTCGAACCACCCTGCCATTTTATGACCATCAGACTGATAGTCACAATTTCATAGCACTTTGAACAACATGCATCAGGTTTGGCCATCATCGCGCTGTAGGCAAACCTGCACAATTGTCAATTATCTGAATACATTCCTCAGCAGGTATGGCCTGAATGATACAGATGATCTCACTTTTGAGGGCTACAATTGTCCTGAGGTCATTCTTATACACTTTATCTATCTCTGCCATATCCCCATAGGTAGGGACATTTTGGACAACCTGCAATGTTCTTTGAAGTTCTGTAACACTGTGATAATCAATCTGATGATCATGAAATAAGGTAGGCAAGTAGGAAATTGAGTGATGTACAAATGTGCAAAGTTATTTCTTAAAATGACAAAGATATTAGGAAAATAGTGTAAGGGTTTCCAGTTTTTTTGACCACCCTGTATATCATTCAAATAAGAAAGGTTAGGAAACTAAATTGAATATGTTGAATATATATAAATAAAACTAAATATATTTCCATGGTTTCCAGAAGATTTCTACATGCAGTCTGTTCAAAATCAATCGCCTGCATGAAACTTAACAAGTTGGAATGCTCAGTTAAAAGTACAACAGTCAAACATAACACGAATTTCAACTAGAGAATTTAGTTTCTTAAGTTACATAAATTAATGATGTTACAATTGATTTTGCTTTAATTGTCCAGTTCGCTGTTGAATCTACAGACGCGTTTGCGCAATAATTATGGGACTCTGTCCCTGGGACGCCTCCCAAAAATCAACCTGACTGTACCCGTCGTTAACACAGCATGCTGGCGCTATTTGTTCCTTGGCTGATTTGCCCTTCTTTAGTCGGTTCTTCAGTGTCTTGCAAAGATTTATCAATTTAGTTGGCTTCATTGGTGCCATGGCTCTCTTCACGCTCTTTCTGAACGTGTTCTTCTTTTCTTTGGAGTACTTGTCACTCTCTCGGCCAGGGATTTCCATGATAGCTACACCTCCATCCTGTGGTTTTTTAAAGCTGACTTGCTTTGTCTTGATCTTGGGGACAACTGCATCATTCACCATGATATCAACATCGGGAGTTTTATCATCGCCATGTTTTAGAACTGAGCCCTCGTCAATCTTCTCGATGACGTTGGATGACAGAACTTGCCTCCCCAAATCGTGTGGCTTATTCGCACAGAGTCCGCGTGTTTCCTTCTTTGTGTAAACTCTGGGTGATCTTCTCAGACTAAGTCGGTGTGGTGTCTTCACAGAAGCGACAACTGCAATTGCGTTCTGAACAACTTTCTCACTGTCATCTAACATACGCTGCAGAGCCAACAGCTCCGCTATATGGCTATTCGCAGGACATGGATGAATGCCATCAGCTTTTTGACCAAGATCATCATTGTTATTCTCTTTCACTTTGGGATCAGCCTGATTTGTCTGCTCTTTACGTTTGTCCTCATCGTGTTTCTCTGTATCCTTAACGACAGCACTGAGACTAAGATCAACTGGTTTTAATTTGCAATTAGCCTCATTTGCGATGTCAGAGACGATTGTAGGACGGATAATATCTTGAGATATTTTGCTGCTTCTCCCATTGTCATCTTTTAGTTGTACTGATGGGCGCTCGTGAATCTTCTCATGGCATTTGGATGATGACACTTGTCTCTCCAAAGCAGGTGGCTTATTCCCAAGGTGTCCGCGTCTTCCCTTCATCATGTCAAATTTGGGTGACCTTCCCAAACTATATCGGTGTGGTGTCTTCACAGAATCAACAAATGCAATGGCGTTTTTAACAACTCTCTCACTGTTATCCAACATACGCTTCAAAGCAAACAGCTCCTCTATACGCCCATTCGAAGTACATGAATGCATGAGATCGGATTTCCAAAAGAGATCACCGTCGGTATCAACCTTTCCTTTGGGTCCAGCCTTATTTGTCTCGTCCTTACTTTCGGAGTCATCGTGTTTCTCAGTTCCCCAATTGGCGATGTCAGAGACAGCTGTGGGCCTAATTCGTTCCTGATTGATATTAACCTGTTGAGATCTTTGTCTGTTTTTCCCCTTGGTGTTTAAAGGATCTTGGTCACGATGGTCATTAGTTTGTGGATTGGCACCTTCTGCAAAGAGGCTGGTGTAGTCATGACGACAGTCCTTGGTGATATCTTTCCGATTATTGAGCGTGGATTTCATTATCTCATCGAGCGTATCAATTGCAGACTTTTTCTCAGCATGTGGAGTTATGATGTTCGTTTCTTTCGGCATCTTTGGGTATGGCTCACCACATTGCTGTATGTCATCTGAAAAGATACAGTCTAGGGTGTTTCATTTTTCAAGAATGTTTTCAGATCACAACGGCCCTACCTTTAACACGGGCCCCTTTTAAACAAAATTGAATTTTTTCAATTGAAAACACTGTTTAATTACTATTGGCGTTTAGTAGAGCGCTATTTTGTCCATTGTTACATGAATTTTGATACGTCTTCAATCTTTCTGTAATATATAATATATAAAACACTAATGGGCGGGGGGGGGGGATCATCTGACCTGGCGTTTCATAAATTGAAGAGGTAAAGCAAAAAATAAGGTACCATATTGGAGTTCATTCAAAACTTTCGAGGGGGTGTATTAAAATCTAAAAAAGTAGGTCAAATGGGGTCAGAAGTAGGTCAAAGTAACAGGTGAGCTTTTTTCGCGTATTTTTTACTTTTTTCAGTCAAAAACATCATATACTGTATTTTTAGACAGAAAGGGTACTAAATGTGATACATGTATATAGTATCTACCTTTTCTGGACAAAAAAACTGTGGGTAGATACCTTTCCTAGATCCAGATATAGGTAATTTGGTCGAAAATTTGACGAAAACGTTCCGGGTATTACGTTCGCCCTTGCGCTATGCAGTTCAGGCACTTTTATTCTTAAAATATGTTTTATTAGATTTACAATGGGATATTTTACGGTAAAAAATTTCTAAAATAATCAAATTGTTGACAGAAATTGCTGAATTTATTCGCCCGATGTGCATTTTAAAATTTTTTCGACCACAGGGGTCGTGTAAATCTGCAATATGTTTGCGATAAAAAGTGCGAGAAACGTATAATTTCCAAAAATTGAAAGTGTTTTAATGTACGTATTCCCAACAGGAAAATCGATTGAAACCTTTCCTGTCATATGTTTAGCAAAGAAGTGCGAAACAATGTTTTCCATTCAAAAGTGAGCGTCGCCCGTAATCCAATGTGACGGGAAGAACATACAGCAATTATAACTTTTGCCAAGCACATGGGAAACGCTTCAATTTTACAAAATGAATGTAAAAAGATTTGGGTCACAGCCTCCCTAGATATAATCAAGATTAGTGTTACATTAACAAAGCTACACCATCTTTCATCTTATTTATTGGACACTTTGAATACATTTTGCAGAAACATACGGAGAGTGTAAACAAAAGGCCATTTGTGCTAGGGATAAAATCCTATTTTTGATCATTTTGTAATCTACAAATTGTAAATGCTGTATTCACTAAATCCATTTATTAGTGTTCATTGTCACAGACTTTATTACAATTTTTTGTCACTAAAAATGGATTTAATATTACCAGACTATGAACTTATTTAATGTAATCAGATACTGTATTGACTATATTTATTTTTTGAATAAAATGAAACATCTCACAGGTAATGAAATACTGTAGGCCTATAAGTGGTTATTTCGCCTAATCATTAACATGAATTTGCCCATTGGCTAATAAAAATTAAATGTCGGAAACATTACATTCATACATAGATGTTCTCCAATAGGAAGTATAGATTGAAAAAAATCTTGAAATCTTGTGATATTATATGAGCCTGGCCATAGAAAAAACGGTCTTATCACAAAAATTAAAATTGTGCTACAGAGCCAAAAATGTGCCCACGATTAAGAGGAAAATGTGCTAAATTCAGATCCGACTTTTTGGTCTATACATGCAAGGAAAAATTGTTAGGACATAAGCCATGGCTCATTTGAAAGGTGTCTTTGTGCGTTTTAAGATAAACAAAAAATCAGAATATTGAAAAAATCTGTGATAAGACCACCTTTCCTGTGGCCTGGCTCATATATTAAAAATTCTCGAGGGTGTGTTACTTGTCTGTAGAGTATGTGCTGATCCGGGATCAATCGGCTCCTGAGACGCCACAAAGAATCGCCATCCGCGTATCGTCAACACAAGAACCAGTACTATAAGGGCACAGGCTATACAGGTCACATATGTCACGTTCCAGTCTAGACGGAACCAACCACTCCTAAAATAATGACATGATGATATACTTAACATATGTGGTAAACACCTGTATTCATGAAGTCCGGATTGACTTACTTAACAGGCGTGATGAAAAAAGTGATATCCGATTCCATTTTTTCAATTTTCAAAATCTGGACATCGGGTTCTGCTCAGTTATAGAGCTTTTGGCCCACGTTGCTTTAATTTTGCTTGTCAGCATTCTGTCAGTTTCCTGGCAAAAAATAACTCTAGTCATTATGCAGGATTCCGGGGGTTAGCAAGACATTTACCTTAATATCCTAGTACAAGCGACCTACGGGCACTCGGTGAGATATCCATATTTTTCTCAGGATATTCCCAATATCTAAAACCTCCCATAACATAACCCTCATATATCTAAGCTGAAGTTTTTAAACTCGTTTGAAAACTCGAAAAAATTGGAAAATAAAATGTGTCCCAGTTTGAAGATTCATCCATTTTTGAGAATCGGCAATGTACATGTACCTAGTAACTAGTTGTGGAACAGTGAAGTGGAGAAATCACTTATTCAGAAAGATGCATTTTGAACGTTTTTGTACTATTTAAGAGATATCCTATCATATTTTACTTTTTTCATTGGAACATGTATTTTATAGGGGTTAAAGGGAATGTATACGCAACCCTTTAAATGATTCCACAATATACACAATTGACAGTTATTCCGTATTGTGTTTTTTTGTTTTTTTGCCATAATATCGTGCAACAAAACAAGCCGACTATCAAACATGATGAACTTACTGATCTTCCGTCCCGTCTCTCCCTGCATCAATAACCAGTAAATCCGCAAGGTAAACCATCACAGTCATGCACGAAGCAATTGCCATTTTGATCTATTTCCGCCTTGTTCGCATGAAAACAAACCAAATTATGTTTATGTTTGTATCCAAGCAATGCCGCCTTGATTTTGCTTTATGACGTCATAGCAATAATACTACGTCACAATCATTTTACGGAAGACGGGGAGTTAATAGAATGTGTGACGTCAATGCAGCATTGCCATGGATTCAAACGAAAACAAACGATGCAGGCTGTAACTAATCCCATCAAATATGAAGGATAGGCCTTGCAATTGACCAATTTGTTGATTTATAATAATTTTGTTCCAAATAACGATGGACTAAGATAGGATATCATTTTTTTGGGTATCAAAATACAAATATTAAAACTCTCATTTTCATTTCAGGAACATAGGGTATATGCACTGGGAGGGCCCGAAGGTAATGTATTTCGTGCTAAGGGATATTTCCCGTATCAAAACCGACCGTCCATAACTGTGGTATTCCATACCTGATGAGGTTTGAAATAATAAGCAGATCGTCAACGGGCCGGTAGAATAACATCTACAATTGACCTTCCAATCTGTTCCTTACATATTATTGCTTACAAGATATAGAATATGGTATCCTGTTCTATGTTTTGAGAGTCATCTATATAATTAGAGAAATAAATCATTGTACGTTATCTTAAACATCTGTACTTTTCCTAAAATAAAAATGCATTGAAATGACAAGGAATGATATATGACATACGTTACTTGATTTCATTTTCTTAGCCATGAGATAAACGTCATGCTTCGGGAAATAAAATTTATTTTGGGTTGACCTTAATAACGCTAAAAAATTAATAATTTTATGAATCGAGCACTCCCGACGATTACTACAATCAAAGCTACTGTTCTGTTATGTACTGTAGGTTAATAACAAACTTTACACATGATTATTTAATCTGTTAAGATTGAACTTTGGAATCACAAGCAACGTCTAAAATCTAAATAGAACTTGAAAATGGAGAGCGTACTGGATTTTAGTAATGTTGTTTTTGCGTCATTTGCATTATGGTCGTCTGTCAGCGTATTAAAGATGATGTTTATGGGAGTTCTGACGTCATTGCATCGAGGTGCCGGGAATGTAAGTTCTGGTGTGACATTCTTAAAAATGGCGTTTCAAACGACAAAGTAGATTAGATGAAAAAGAAGTGCCTATTACTGACTACCTGCAAATCACAGAGAAAAATTATCATAAGATTATTCAATATCATTATAATAGTATTATAAATGTATGGAATAGCGTACATATCTAACCTTCACGTGTATTATAATCATTTGTAAGAAAGAGAGATTGCCATCCTCGATATTGAATATTAACTCAAAAAGATTTGGCAGTAATACTATCAATTGCATGTAATTTCTGTCAAGGGGATTGCCAAAGGTTATCTAATTAATAATGTAAGGTCCACAACAGAGTGCAGACCGTCAGTAGTTTCAATTATGGTATTGCCAAGCCAATGGGATCAGATTTAGAACCAACAAGGGGGCAACAAATTCCGGGCACTGCGCCCCCAAATCCGCCAGTGGAAAATGTCAAAGGGGTTTAAATCTGCTGAATGCGATGAAAAGAGGATCGTCATGTTTAAAGGCTAAACGCTGCAATTCGCATCCTGAATGACCCGTAAAATATTCTTAATTCTAAATGGAATGTAACTTATACATGTGCAATCAATAAACGTAAACATACATCTTCTTTCTCACACCAGAATAGCCTGACAGCGGTAAAGTCAGATACCTTTGTCACAAATGGCGGTTGACGCGACGGTTATGTCCGCCATTTGTGACAACGGTATCTGATCGACTTTACCGTTGTCAGGTGTTATTCCGGTGTGTTTCTGAAAATGTCAAGATTGAAAACATCCTCAACTAGTATCGTTAGCAAAATGACCAGATTCAATTTTTTTGCAAAGGTTGCAATTTTTCCATTTTATTCACTTTTTATATGATCTATTTTAAGGTTCTGTCCAAGTCCAAGTCCTTATTGTGTTTAAATGAGAATTTCAGCGTTTAGCACTTAAATCAAAAGTACGCGATATACTGTTAGGAACACCCTGTATACCTATATGGCGATTCGAATTTGAAAACTATCCAAAATGTTGCAAAATCGTCATCTATTTCCCACTGAACAAAGCACTTAGTATACGAGTAGACCACATATTGTATCAACGAATTAATACTTAGAGGTTATGTCACTATGACGTGAAATATGCCTGAGTTCTCCCAATATAGGCCGACCTTGGGAGGCTCTATATTTGGGCAAGAACGAAGGCATATTTCACGTCATAGTGACATAACTGATGTATTACATGCCTTTGTTCCCATGGTTACTTTGTATCAATGACGTGACGTCATGATATTATCATGGTTATTAAAGAAATCTAATATCAAAACGAGGTAAGCGGGCTATATCGGGGTAATCGGGCAATATCGGTGGATATAGCTCGCTAACTTTCCCATTGACTTCCATACAAATGCTTCGCTAGGTATGTAATACTAGGTGAACATTGACTTTGTTCACAGTTTATATAAGGCTTGAATACAGATGTTCGAATTAGAATTACAGCTATTACTCTTCTATCCATGATGTATTTTCAAAGCTAGAAAAAATAATTTTATTGTTTAGGTCTACACGAACCCAGAAGACATTGCAATGTTTGCAACAAAGAGAGGTGTTAGTCCTAACCCGAATGACCCAAAAGTAGAACGAGCAAGACGGTGAGTAGTTAGTAATCTTTTCTCTACTCCTCTTTTTAGATCAACAGTCGCTTTAAGTCCCATTGTATGGATCATTTAACAAAAAATGATAGTCTTTCTTCTGTATCGCAAAGTGAACCAAAAATTGTCTCACGAAAATAAAAGTACAAATGCGTGCCACGCGGAAAGTACAGAGATGAACCTAAGGGAAATGCATGAAAAAACTCCATGGAGATATAGGTCCATGATAGAGAGGACCGACTGATCAATCCCGTACTACACATGATTACACGTTTTGAATAATTGCATTTTCAGAAACCACCTGAACGACTTAGAGAACATCCCAGCGTTTGTCCTGCTTGGATTTTTCTATGTGCTGACACGACCATCGCCATGGCTAGCAGTGATGCACTTCAGAGTGTTTGGCGTAGCTAGGATAATACACACCCTCAGCTACCAGCTCAGCCTACAACCATGGAGGGCAATAGCACATATAGCATCTGTTGTAGTACTTACATCTATGGCAGTGCAGATTTTCTCAATGGGACAGTGGTAGCTGAAAATGCATTAAAACAGCTAAAAGTTGATTAAAAATATAAGCCTAGCTTTGAGGTCGATATAACTGTATAAGGATAGCAGGGGTATAATTTTATTGTATTCAATATGGAAAATACAAAACAGTTTTATTCGACTGCCATCTTTGTTCAAAAAGCTGTTTGACATCATTTCTTTTCACGTGTTGCAGGCCTCCTAGACTTCCAACAACGCGAACATCAGTTCTGATACCGCGAACTACGTTCCTTGCACTCGAACCACGAATCTTATATCGCGAACGTGAAATCTTATATCGCGCACCACCATTTCCTTGTTTCCGAACATATTTCTTGTACTTCGAACAGAGATCCGTTACCGCGAACAATTTGTACATAATACATCCGGGTGTTTGGGATTCCAAGTTACATGTATACCATGCAACGGAGTGAAACAAGGAAACGAAATTCAGTTTCTCCTCCGCTTTCGCCGGACTTTCGTTCCTATGAAAAGCATGCACTTGCATGTTAGATGACCCATTCGTCACTGTATTTTGAAACGTAATCTTAAGATTAACATCCACGCGACGCCCCGAGTTGGCAGTTCTTTAAATGATGTGTCAAAGGAAAGCACTGCGTCCCACAGTCATTCATTTTTGGGATCAGAGAGTATCTGCGCACGGTGTGGTGTAATAGGAGATGTCATTTGTAAAAGCGATATTTTTTCCTTTTTATGACCGCCATTTTTTCAGACAAGTTTCTTAAATTTTAAAGATTGTATCATTTAGAGCAATATATTGGGCACATTTTCTGAAAAATTCAAAAGACTCTGTTCATTGACCTTTCCTATGCTCCTACTTAAAGCTATTTACGGTGACCTTTTCAGAGGACTGAAAAAGTTATTTCATCATGTCTAGGGTCATTCTGACCATGGTCAGTGTGATCCTGGTCACACTGCATCATGCGACCTTTAACTACAAGGTTTACTTTTATACAGTACACCTACATTGTAGTAATCAGTTATGGCTGTATTCTGTGTAGATGCACTAGCCCGCCCCTCCCGCTGAGATGGGCCCAGAAAAAAGGGTCCGACATTTTAGCGCTCCACATGTCTTGGGTCAGATATCGTCCTGGTTGCTGAAGTCAGGAATTTTTGGGGAACATGGAGCAAAACGGCCCTCATAATAGTTTGATCCGTGCAGAGGTTTTTCTAATCTGTCAATCATCGCGAACTTTCATGTTCCATCTTATGAAGGGATTATATTTCACATTTTCTTTGATTTTTCAGAGTGTTCGAAAATAATGTTGAGAGGAGGGCAAAATGGCCCATGGGTGGGACAGAACAACCCACAATGAAAGCTTCGGTTTTAAAACCAAGATTAATTAACTACAGGACTCGTCAACACACATTTATTTCAGACGGTCAAAGATTAGACAGATAAAGTATTCTTAGCCCTTACCCTAAAATTACGATTTAGTAGTCATTTGATATGTTTTGAAACAAAAACCAAGTGTTAAAATCTTTATCAGCAGGCCCGTAAGACACTTTTTTCCAAGGGGGGTGCGGTTTTTAGCTTATTAAAGAAAATTGTCAATTTTTTTGCCGCGTAAATCAAATCGCGTAAGACAGAGGGGGGGGGGGGTCAGTTACTCCCTATATTGGTTTGGAATTAACAAATGCAACTTCCAAACGTTCCAATTTTTTGTGGGGGGTGTGAGGAGTGGTCCACTTCCCCTAGAAAATTTTACAGTTTTGAGATGCTAATTGGTGCTTTCTGGGCACTTTCAAAGTGTAAGTTTCTAAGTAGTACGCCACCACCACAAGAATAAGAGTTGAGTGAATAAAAAACCGAGCATTTAGGGGGGTCTGGGGGTTCTCCCCCAGGAAAATTTTGAAATTTGCTTGTATTTGGAGCGAATTTGCAACCATCTGGTACGCCTGTGCGTTATGAGTCAATAAGAAAAATGTGTATTTTTTTCAAATTCTTTTGGGGGTGTCAAAGAGGATGAGAGGGTGAAGTGGGGTGGGGTGCCAGTAGGGGAGCAAGGGGTTGTCCCCCAGAAACATTGACCATATCAAGATGCTATTTGATGATGTCTGGGCACTTAAAAAATGTCTGAGACAATACATGAAATTCAGAATATTTATTTTGTTTTGTGGGGGATGTGAGGGGTGGCTAACTCTCCTAGAAAATTTTACAATTTAAAGATGGTATTTGGTGCTTCTGGGCACTTTTAAAGGTATTAGTCAATAAAAAACATTGAAAAACAATCACAATTTTTTTCAAATTTTGGGGGTGTCAAAGGGGGGGGGGGGGGGGTGGGGCTGGGGTGCCAGAGGGGGAGCAAGTGTTTGTCCCCCATATCAAAATTTACAATATCAAGGTGCTAATATATTTCCCAAGAAAATTTTACAATTTTAAGATGCTATTTGGTGCTTTCTGGGCACTTTCAAAATGTATGAGTCAATAAAAAAATTTGAAAAATCTCAATTTTCTTTTTTTGGGGGGGGGGGGTGTTAAGGGGGGGGGGCTGCCAGAGGGGGGGGGTGGAGTGGGGATGCCAGAGGGCGAGTAAGTGTTAGTCTTCCAGAATTATTAACTTTATCAAGGAGCTATTTGATGATGTCTGGGCAATTTAAAAGTGTCTGAGACAATACATAAAACAAATTCAGAACTTTTCAATTGTTTTGTTTGGGGTGTGAGGGGTGGTCCACTCCCCCTAGAACATTTTACAATTTTACGAGACTATTTGGTGCTTTCTGGGCATTTTCAAATTGTATGAGTCAATTAAAGATTTTGAGAAAATCACTTTTTGGGGGGGGGGTCAAGGGAGGCGCCAGAGGGGGGGGGGGTGGTATGCAAGTGCAAGATGCAAGAGGGGAAGCAAGTCCCCCAGAAACACTAACTATATCAAGGAGCTATTTGATGATGTCTGGGCACTTTAAAAGTGTCTGAGACAAAACAAATTTTACAATTTTAAGATGCTATTTGGTGCTTTCTGGGTACTTTCAAACTGTATGAGTCAATGAATTCAAAAAAAAAATTTTTTCAAATTTTTTTTTCAAATTTATTTTGGGGGGTAACAAAGGGGGGTGCGGTCGCACCCATCGCACCCCCCCATCTGACGGCCTTGATCAGGATGATAGATTGTTATTTTCCTGTATGTAAACAGTTAATCCCACAAGCCGTAATGGGGGAGGGGGCAACATTTAAGTTAAGTTTTCATCTAAAACGTTGACAGGCAAAGGGTAGCATCTTCAAATTATCAGTAGCTGGAGCGACAGATATAGCACATCAAGTATTCTATAAAATCAGGAATATTGTACATAGGGTAACTCATTTCTTTATTATGATGCAATCATCGGCTCAAATGGACAAATTTGGAAAAATGCTGGTAAAGAGAAAGAAGATATTCTGGATTTTGAAGCCCTGTGATCGGAGGATGTCACTAGCTAATTTGGCCATACGTGTTGTTACTCAAAAGTCAGGTTTTTGTTGTTATTACCCAGCCCTTTCACTGAAAATGTCAATGCGCGTGATTGCAAGGTAGTCCCAATATCTTGTGTTTCCTAGAGCTTGAAAATACTGTTATCGTCAATGATTGGATATTCATTCACATGCATGAAAAACTGGGAAAATATTTCTTCCGCATTCCACATGAAAACACCTCTTTGGAATTACACTTATGCGTAATAATACGAACAAAATTATGGACTTTTTTCGATCAGATGCGTGGTTCGCGGTAACGGATCTTTGTGCGAGGTACAAGAAATATGTTCGGAAACAAGGAAATGGTGGTGCGCGACATAAGATTTCACGTTCGCGATATGAGATTCGTGGTTCGAGTGCAAGGAACGTAGTTCGCGGTATCAGAACTGATGTTCGCGTTGTTGGAAGTCTAGGAGGCCTGTGTTGGGATATTCATATTTTTCTTATAACAGTCTACTTGGAGTTTGATTTTCTTGCTTAGTTTCTTTTCATTTTTTGTTTTTTTCCTTTGGCACTTGTTCTTAGATATTTGCCTTTATAAAATAAAGCCACTCAGCCTCATCTCCTAGCTCACGTATGGGTCCCTTCCCATCCAGTCACTTTTTTATACACGAAGAGCAATTAATTGTTATACGAGTTTTAAAGTATTTTCATTGAAGTTCACGTTTTTATGAAAGGTAGCTTTATTCTTCTAAAATGATATTTTATATAGTTTTTTTTATACACGAAGAGCAATTAATTGTTATACGAGTATAAAGTTTTTTGATTGAAGTTCATGTTTCTAAAATTACATTTCTATTCTAACTCACACTTAAGAAACATAACATTTACTAGCATGTGGCTCTGCGGCTGCGTGCTGCAGAAAAACCGAGTGTATTATTTGTACAATAATGTTATCGTATGTACATGCTGGTTGCCAAAATGTGGCTCTGCGGCTGCGTCGCCGCTGGAAAATATACAAAAATGTTAATAATGGACAATTGATTAGCTTACTCGATAATGTAGTAATAACAAATCTCATTTTCAAAATTAAAAAATTTCCGACCACCTGTAAAACCTTTTCTATCTTTAGCATCACACACTCATTAATGCCCATTATTATTCTGTTGAGAACATGATGCTAAAAATCTTTGAAATCCTCAGCAATTGAGGTTATAAGGAAAAAGGTTTGTCCGAAAAATTTTCATTACATTTTAAAGACATTTACTTAGTTTATCTCGCCGCTTAGAGCCGAAGTGATCTTATTCACAAATACATACACCGTTCACTCAGTAATACTGCATTCACAATTACCGTTCTATTTTCATAACGTTAAACGACCAAATAGAAATCATTTTCTTGCTAATTCGTACTACGTGACTCAAACGCAATAAAATACATTTTACATATATTCGAGCATACTTGTATCGTGGCATATTTACAATTTGCATAGTTTGATTTTGATTCAGCAAAAGAGAGCTTCATCGACACTCTGAGAATGAGATGAACTTCTCATCTTTCATGTTCAAGCCCCTCTCAAAGCCATTCAAAATTAT